TCTCTTAAACAAATGGAGTCTCTCTCTCTGTGCTGAGCCACCTGAAGCTGGGGGAGGGGTGACACAGAACACCCCTGTGGCCACCACCACTGAGACTGCACAGGGTCAAACCTTAAGCCAGCACAGCACTGGGTCTTGCCCAAGGCCCACTGTAACCACTGCCTGGTCACTGCTTGTGCTCTCGCAAGGCCCTAGGGCTCTGCAGTCAGCAGGTGATGAAGCCACCCAGGCTTGTGTCCTTCCTTTAAGGGCAATAAGTTCCCCTGGTCCTAGGGAGGTCTAGAGATGCTTTCTGGGAGCCAGAGCCTAGAGTAGGAAACCTTAGAAATCTACCTGGTGCCCTATTCTACTGCAGCTGAGCTGGCTCCAATAGCACTAGGCAAAGTGCTTTCCACTCTTCCCTCCCCTTTTCCCAGGCAAAGGAGTCTCTCCCCATGCCCACCACAGGCCCACAGGGAGTACTACCAGGGTACTATTGATGTTCACTTAAGGCCCAAGGGCTCTTCTGTCAACTTGTGGTGAATGCTTTCAGGCCTGGGACTCACCCTTCAGGGCAGTGGACTCTTCTACTAGCCCATGTTAGGTCCAGAGATGTCATTCAAGAGCCAAAGCCTGGAACTGGAGACCCTAAGAACCTATTTGGTGCTCTTCCCCACTGTGGCCAAACTGGCACCTAAGCTCAAGACAGAGTCCTCTTTACTCTTTCCTCTGCTTTTCTCAAGAAGTGGTCTCTTCTCATTTCCACTACAGCTGGAATGTGCTGGTCACACCTGAAGTCAGCACAGCTCTGAGTCTCACCCAAGGCCCGTGGCGAGTACTACCTGGCTACTGCTGCTGATTATTCAGGGCCCAGGGCCCTTTAGTCAGCATGTGATGAACCCTACTAGGACTGGGTCCTTTGCATCAAGGCAAACAGCTTCCCTTCCAGTCCAGGGTGTGTCTAGAAGTGTCATCCAGGAGCCAGGCCTGGAATTGGGACCTTGTGACTCTGCCATGTGCCATATCCTACTGTGGCTGAGCTGGTATCCAAGTTACAAGACAAAGTCCTCTTCACTCCCCTCTCCTCATCTCAAGTGGAAGGAAGGAGTCGGAGTCTCTTTTGGAGCTGTGAGCTGCACTGTCTGGGATTAGGGGAGGAGTAATATAAACGCTCTTTTAGCAGATACAGTTGGTGTGTTACTAGGTGGCATGTCCCCTAAGTCCACTAGTTCAGAGAACAGCACAGCCCTAGGACTTGCTTAGGAGTTGCAGTCCTTGTGGCCTAGACAGCTTTCAAGTTTATGTAGGACCCCAGAGGACTTTTGCCTGTGGTGTAAGGCTTGTCAGAACTCAGGTTCCAGCCACCAGGATGGGTGGTTCCCCTCTGGCTGGGGCTGATCCAAATGCTCCATCTAGGGGTGCCAGCTGATTTCTGCCTGGTGTTGACAGCACTGCATTCCAATGCAAAGTCCCACGATCACTGCACTTTCTCTCCCCAAGTGTAGAGATTCTCCACACCACATGACTACTGCCAGGGGAATTGGGACAGGTGAGTGTTGGCAATTCAAGACTGTCTTTCCTACTTTCTTCAGTGCCTCTTTCAGTGATATGAAGTTAAAACCAGATGCTGCGATCACTCCCCTGATTTTTGGTTTTTATGAAGGTGCTTTGTTGTGTACATAATTGTTAATTTTGTGTTCCTGTGGGGAGGATGATTGGTGGAAGCTTCTATTTGATCATCTTGCTTCACCTCCTCCAACACTATTTATTGTGTAATTTGTTCTTTCCCTCCTAATTTGAAATGCGACCTCTTATCATATATCAACATTTCGTAACTGTCTGGCTCTGTTTCTGGCTTTCATTCTATTCTGTTCTTGCCCTAGTAATTCACTGTTTTAATAACTATGTCTTTATAATGTCTTAATTTTCAGTTTGGAATTTGGCCCTCTTTTTCTTCATCTTTCTTAAAATTTTGTTTACTGTTTCTCCATATTTGCTCTTTTAGAATCAATTTATTTCATCACACAAAAATTAAGATTTTTGATGGATATTTAAAATAAATATAAAAATCACAAAATTATGTTATTATTTATTCCTAAAGCCTTCAACATGTATTATTTTGTACTCTGTATGTATTATTCCTATTAGATAAAGAGCAGGGTAGATACAGTCTTGTGGGACCTAAAGTCTGACCAATTCAGGAGCCCTCTTTAAGGATAGTAATGAAAAATTATGAATGTGGCATTAGATGCTGTGCCTTGGAGGAGCCTGTGCTGGGAAGATGACTGAATCCCTAACTGTATTAGCTTCATGGTAAACCCACTTCAGATAAGCAGTCTCAGAGAGAAAGTCCTGATAAATTGTGCCTTTACTCTCGCTAGAGTAAACCGATAGTTCATGACTTCTAAACTACTTAGATGGTATAAGCCATAAAATAACAATTAAATTTGCAGCTTCAGTTGTATTTTTAGTCATGTGTTACATAATACCACTGCCTCAGCTTTCCCCAGGATAGCACCTCACATTTGAGGATCTCAGGGCACGTTATGAACATTAACTAATTAAACCTCACAAAACCCCAGAGGCACTGGAAAGAGAGATACAGCATCACCTTGCACAGTTCTGAAATGCAGTCACCTCTAGGGGTGAGTGTGGCAGCTGCCTAATAATAAACTGCAACACCTCACAACAGTTTAGTCAAGGCAATTAGTCTCTGTAGTTGGTAATTGTCTCCTGAACATTATACCATCGACAGTTCAGTCACTGGGATTATTAGTTTACTGAAAATTAATCCAGCCTTTAAGACTTTTTACTTTTTAGTAATCTTTTCTTAATTATAAAAGAAACATGCACAGTGCATGTTTTGTAGTTGCATTTTTGTAGTTCTTCAAACTTAGAAAAGAAATATTTTTTTAATACATTAGAATAGGTAGATACTGATAACAAGCTTCTGTAATTCACAGGGTTGCTGGTGAGCAGAACTCCTCAATGACGGTAAAAGTTGGAAGAGTGGGTACCTTTGAGAGGAGTATTGACTGGACAGGGAGATGAGGGAAACTTCTGGGTTCTGAACATGTTTTATATGTTGTTTTTTTTTTTTTGAGATAGAGTCCCTGTCATCTAGGCTGTAGTGCAGTGGCATGATCTTGGCCTACTGCAACCTCTGCCTCCTGGTTTCAAGTGGTTCTCCTGAGTAGCTGGGATTACAGGTGTGCACCACCATGCCCGGCTACTTTTTTGTATTTTTAGTAGAGACGAGGTTTCATCATGTTGGTCAGGCTGGTCTTGAACTCCTGACCTCAGGTGATCCAACTGCCTCTGCCTCCCAAAGTGCTGGGATTACAGGTGTGAGCCCCCATGACCAGCCAGTTTTATATACTCTTACAGGTAATGGTTGTTGCTCAGGAGTAGACATATGTAGAAATTCCCTGAGCTGTACACTTTTTGTATGTGTGTTAATCTCAACAACAAAGTCAATTAGCCTAAAAAGCATGCTGCTCTTGGCATGATGAGAATGCTAGAAACCCCAGATAGTCTTATCTGGAAAATTCTGCAGGGTGCAGAACATATTCAAGAACTAGAGATATGACAGTTTTTATTTTCCTCAAAGCATCTTTCTTCGGAAGAGGAATTCTAAGTGCTTTACCCTCTCTTCTCAGGACATTTTCTTTTCATGCCAAAAGAGCTGCCTTTCATGCTAAGATGTGACTCTCTCACATCGTATCTTCAACATTATGTACGTCTTTGACTATGCCATTTACACCTCCCTGGGCATCACATTTTTCTCTTAGAATTTTATTCATTTACCTACATCTTTTCCAGGAGTAGGTGTAATGCATTAGTGACCCAGAAATTGGGGTTGAGAGGCATCTGCAGGGGCCATTGTCATAGCTGGCACTAGAAGAACACCATGGGAGAGGAGGAGGCAGAGAGGACCCTGGCTGCTCTGGCCCTGCAGGGTCTGATGCAACCCTTGAAAACAAGAAGGCAGAGCAGCAGGCCCACACCCGTGGTGACAGCAGCAGTCTCTGGAGCCTTTAGTGGGCCCAGGGACCCTCCTACATGTGTGGCTGCACTTCTGAGGAGGGGCAGGCACGAGCAGGGCATCCTAGTGCTACTCTGAGCTGAGGCCCGAAGGCTAAGAGCAGATGTCATAGCTGAGAACCCCCAGCAGAGCAGACACTGGGTGAGACACAAAGGCAAGTACATCCTCCAGTGATGTCTTCTCCCAGGTCACCCGCCTTAGGGATGGAGAGATTTCAAAAGAGAAGAAAAGGCGGGGTGGGGGGGGAGGGAGAAAAACCTTTTTAGACAAAATGAGACATTTTTTCTTCTGTAATTTTTAGTTAAGGTTAAATACATGAGGCCTAAGCTACCCTGATCATTGACTTTCCAGAACTTCTTAAAACACCAATGCTTAGCTCCAGTTCTTCTTGAAAATAATTTCTATTAGAAAATAGTAAAGTAAGCATTGTGCCCACTGGCAAAGCATGAGTTCCTAGTATTTACAAACAATGAGAAAGCAGCCCTTGTGCTAAGCCCTGGCATTCAGGTAACACTGATGTAACTCATTGGGGGCTTTTCCACCTTCTGTCTGAAGATCATTTCAAGGCCCACCATCAAGGAAGCTGATAACCCCTTGTTTGTAAGCTTCAAAAGGGGCGGCTATCAAAGGATCCCATTGCCCAGGAACTGATAAAGGTTGAGGTCCTCCTGCCGACCAGGCCTGGGCCAGGTCTATTGACCATCTTCTCATCTCCACAACTCCCAACTCCCTTGGGCAGTATCATGCAGATAAGGGCACAGAGAGGTGGAGGGAGGAACTTCCAGGATCCCTCCTCAGTGTCAAAATCCAGGTGGGCTGCAGAGATCTACTCTTCCCACCTCAAAGTACTGCTCTCTAGAATAAAATTCTTCAGATCCATTGTAGTTTAAAAACGTGACTATGCTGTCCAATTTTCTGTGGTTCTGCAGACATTTATCATCTATTTTCTGTCCTTATTATATCCCTTCTCTCAAAGATGCTGAGCTCAGGAGTAGCAGCCAGAGTTTCCAAAAAATAGTCGAGGAGTCACAGGAGCCTGTTTCTCCAGATGCCATTGAAAACATCCAGGTGAGAGAGACCATTCCTCCACGCCTAGGGTTGGGGGATGCGCCTAGGGGCTACGTGTGACATCAGGGGCATCTCTGGTGCTGGGGTCAGACATTAGAGAAGTTCTAATGCCTCATGCAGAGAAGACCTACCTAGCAGTAAGCACACTTTGAGCTGGGGGAAACAGAGGCCTTTGGGCTTGTAATGGACAAATCAAAGCCTCACTGGTATGCTCTAAAATGCAGGTCAGAACAGAATGTCAGGAGGCTGAGGCAGATAAAACTGCTAATTTAAACTCATTGATGTCACAAGCACTTGAAAGTTTCAACAATAGACTAGACCAAGTAGAAGAAAGAACTTCAGAGCTTGAAGACAGGGCTTTTAAATTAACCCAATTAGACAAAGACAAAAAAAGAATTTTAAAAAAATGAACAAAGCCCCAAGAAATTTGGGATTATGTTAAATGGCCAAACCTAGGGACAATTGATATTCCTGAGGAAGAAGAGAAATCTAAGTTTGGAAAACATATCTGAGGAAATAATCAAGGAAAACTTCCCTGGCCTCACTAGAAATCTAGACATCCAAATACAAGAAGATCAAAGAACATCTGGGAAATTCATTGCAAAAAAACATCATCACCCAGGTACATAGTCATCAGGTTACCTAAAGTCAAGAGAAAGAAAATTAGGAGCTGTTAGGCAAAAGCATCAGATCACCTATAAAGGAAAATGTATCAGATTTACCACAGATTTATTAGCAGAAACTCTGTAAGCCAGAAGGGATTGGGGTCCTTTCTTCAGCCTCCTCAAACAAAATAATTGCCAGCCAAGAATTTTGTATCCAGCAAAACTGCTTCATAAATGAAGGTGACAGAAAGTATTTTTCAGACAAACAAATGCTGAGAGAATTTACCATTACCAAGCCAGCACTATAAGAAATACTAAAAAGAGTTCTAAATCTCAAAGAGCCTAAATCTCACAGGGCCTATAAAAAAATAACACAATGAAAGAAAAACACCAAAATACTGAGGCAACAACTAGCGTGTTGAATAAAACAGTACCTCACATCTCATTACTAACATTGAATGTAAATGGCCTAAATGTTCCACTTAAGAGACACAGAATGACAGAATGGATAAAAATTCACCAATCAAGTGTCTGCTGTCTTGAAGAGGCTCACCTATGCATAAGGACTCACATAAACTAACATAAAATAAATGGATAGAAAAGGATATTTCACACAAATGGAAACCAAAAGCAAGCAGAAGTAACTATTTTTACATCAGAGAAAACATACTTTAAAGCAACAACAGTTAAAAAAAAATGGGACATTATAAAATGATTTTTAAAAGTCAGTCCAACAGGAAACTACCCCAGCCCTAAATATATATGCACCTAACATGGGAGCTCCCAAATTTATAAAACAATTAATACCAGACATAAGAAATGAGCTAGCTGGCAACACAATAATAGTGGGGGACTTCAGTACTCCACTGACAGGACTACACAAGTCATTAAGATAGAAAGTCAACAAAGAAACAATGGGCTTAAACTATACCCTAGAACAAATGGGCTTAACAGATACTTATAGAACATCCAGCAACTGCAGAATATACATTCTTTTCATCAGCACATAGAACATTCTCAAGATAGACCATAGGATAGGCCACAAAACGAGTCTCAATAAGCTTAAGAAAACTGAAATTATATCAAGTACTCTCTCAGACCACAGTGGAATAAAATTGGAAGTTAACTCCAAAAGGAACCATCAAAACTATACAAATATATGGAAATTAAATAAGCTCCTCTTGAATGATCTTTGGTTCAACAGTGAAATCAAGATGGAAATAAAAATTATTTGAACTGAATGTTAGTGATGACACAACTTATCAAAACCTCTGGGACACAGCAAAAGTGGTGCTAAGAGGAAACTTCACAGCATTCATTAAATGCCTACAACAAAAAGTCTGAAAGAGCACAGAGAGATGGTCTGAGGTCACAGCTCAAGGAACTAGAGAAACAAGAACAAACCCAACCCAAACCCAGCAGAAGAAAAGAAATAATGAAGATCAGAACAGGACTAAATGAAATTGAAACAAAAATTTTCAAAATATAAATGAAACAAAATCTGGTTCTTTGATAGACCATTAGTGAAATTAACCAAAAAAAAAAGGAGAAGATCCGAATAGTCTCAATTAGAAATGAAATGGGAGATATAACAACCAATACCAAAGAAATACAAAAGATCATTCAAGACAACTGTGAACACCTTTACATACACAAACTAGAAAATCTAGAGGAGATGGAGAAATTCCTGGAAATACACAACTCTCCTAGATTAAATTGGGAAGAAATAGAAACTCTGAACAGACCAGTAACAAGTAGTGAGATAGAAACAGTAATTTTAAAATTGCCAGCAAAGAAAGTGCAGGACCAGATAGATTCACAGCTGAATTCTATCAGGTATTCAAGGAAGAACTGGTACCAATCTTACTGAGACTATTCCAAAAGGTAAAGAAAGACATAATCCTCCCCAAGTCATTCTGGGAAGCCAGTATCACCCAAAAACTGAAACCAGGAAAGGACATAATCCAAGACTAAAACTATAGACTAATATTTCTGATGAACATAGATGCAAAAATCCTCAAGAAAATGCTAGCTAACTGAATTCAACATCATTCAAAAAGATAATAATACACCGATATCAAGTGGGTTTCATAACAGATGGAGGGATGCAGGGTTTAACATAAGGACTAGTCAATAAGTGTGATACATAACATAAACAGGTTTAAAAACAAAAATCATATGATCATCTCAATAGACACAGAAAAAGCATTTTACAAAATCCAGCATTGCTTTATGATTAAAACTCTCAGCAAAATTGGCATAGAAAGGACATACCTCAAGTAATAAAAGCCATCTATGACAAACCCACAGCTAACATTATACTGAACAAGGAAAAGTTGAAATCATTCCTCCTGAGAACTGGAACAAGACAAGGATGTACATTTTCACCATTTCTATTCAACATGGTACTAAAAGTCCTAGCCAGAGCAATCAGACAAAAGAAAGAAACCAAAGGCATCCAAATTGGTAAAGAAGTCAGACTGTCACTGTTCACCGATAATATGATTGTATACCTAGAAAACCCTAAAGACTCACCCAAAAAGTTCCTAGATCTGATAAACAAATTCCATAAAGTCTCAAGTTACAAAAATCAGTGTACACAAATCAGTAGCACTGCCATGCACCAAAAACGACTACGCTGAGAATTAAATAGAGAACTCAATTCCTTTTATAACAGTTGCAAAAGAAACAAAAAACAAAACCAAACAAAAACCTCAAAAAACAAACAAAAAGCTAGGAATGTACTTAAGCAAGAAGGTGAAAGACCTCTACAGGAAAATTACAAAACACTGCTGAAAGAAATCACTGATGACACAAACAAATGAAAATACATCCCAAGCTCATGTATGGGTACAATCAATATTGTGAAAATGACCATACTGCCAAAAGCAATCTACAGATTCAATGTAATTCCCATGCAAATACCATTATCATTCTTCAGAACTAGAAAAAACAATCCTAAAATTGATATGGAATCATAAAAGAGCATGCATAGCCAAAGCAAGACTAAGCAAAAAGATCAAATCTGGAGGCATCACATTATGTGACTTCAAACTATCCTACAAGGCTACCAAAAAAGCATGGTACTGGTATAAAGTAGGCATGTAGCCCAATGGAACAGAATGTAGAACCCAGAAATAAAGCCACATACTTATAACAAATGATCTTTAACAAAGTAAACAAAAACATAAAGTGGAGAAAGAACAGTGTATTCAACAAATAGTGCTGGGAAAACTGGAAGCTACTTGTAGAAGAATGAAGCTGGATCCTCATCTCTCACCTTATAGAAAAAGCCACTCAAGATGGATCAAAGACTTAAATCTAAGAAGTGAAGCCATAAACTTTTAGAAGATAACATCAGAAAAAACTCTTCTAGACATTGGCTTAGGCAAAGAGTTCATGACCAAGAACCCAAAAGCAAGTGCAACAAAAACAAAGATAAATAGATGGGACCTAATTAAACTAAAAAGCTTCTGCACAGCAGAACAAATGATCAGCAGAGTAAACAGACAACCCACAGAGTGGGAGAAAATATTTGCAAAGTATGTATCCAACAAAGAACTAGTATCCAGAATCTACAAGGAACTCGAATTGGCAAGAAAAAAAAAAATAATCCCATCAAAAAGTGGACAAAGGACATGAATAGAGAATCCTCAAAAGAAGATCTGCAAACAGCCAACAAACGTGAAAAAATGCTCAACACCACTAATTATCTGGGAAATGCAAATCAAAACCACAATGAAATATCACCTTACTCCTGCAAGAATGGCTATAATTTAAAAATAAAAGAAAACAACAGATGTTGGCTTGTATGTGGTGAAAAGGGAAGAGTTTTTCACTGCTGGTGGGAATGCAAACTAGTACAACCATTATGGAAAATAATATGGAGATTCCTTAAAGCATTAAAAGTAGAATTACCATTTGATCCAGCAGTTACTGGGTGCCTACCAAGTATACAAGAAGTCATTATATGAAAAATATACCTGCACAAGCATGTTCATTACAGCATAGTTCACAGTTGCAAAAATATGGAACCAGACTAAATGCCCATCAACATAGAGTCTTTGATATACACTTTGGGTATAGTACGCACTGCTTGGATGATGGGTGCACCAAAATCTGAGAAATCAATAAAGAACTTTTCCATGCAACCAGATATTACCTATTCCCCCAAAGGTATTGAAATAAAAAATTTAAAAATTAGCAAACGGAATCAATATACAAAATGGATAATCATAACTGAGTAGGGTCTATTTTAGGAATGCAAATTTCGTTTAACATAAGAAAATCAGTGTAATTCACCATTTTAACAAACTAAAAAAAAAGTACATTTTTTCATAAATGTATAAAAGACATTTGAAAATCCAACATTAATTCCTCGTAAAGACTCTTAGCACTTTTTCAGTTTGATAAAGGTTATTTTGAAAAACAGCAAATGTCACACATAATGGTGACAGACTAATTATTTTACCCCTGAAGTCAGGAACAAGTCAAGAATGTCTGCTCTTACCACTTCTAATCCAAATTGTAGTGGCGATTTGGACCAGTGCAGAAAAGAGTGGAAAAGATAAGAAAGGCATCCAGATTGGAAAGGAATAATTAAAACTGTCTTTTACTCACAGGCAACGTGATGACTTATGGGAAAAACTGATAGAATCTACAAATATCTACTAGAACAAATATATACAAAATTAATATGCAAAATTTGATTTTATCTCTGTATAATTGCAATGAACAATCAGATTGAAATACCATCTACAACAGTACAAATATGTTAAATACTTATAGATTAAATCTGACGGAAGATATACAAGACTTCCATGCTGAAAAGTATAGAACATTTCTGAGAGAAATTAAAGACATAAATGCTTAGAAAGATATTCTGTGTTCATGGGATACTGAATCTTTAAATCAGTTCTTCCCAAATTCAGTAAAATTCCAATCAAATTTTCAGCAGGAATTTTTATAGAAGTTTAATTAATTGATTTCAAAATGTATGCAAAAATGGAGGTAACCTAGAACAGCCAGAACAACTTTGAAAAAGAACAAAACTGTAGGATAACACTAACTGATTTCAAGATTAATTATTATAAGGTTCTTTTTTTTCTCTGTTGCCCAGGCTGGAGTTCAGTGGCATGATCTCAGCTCACTGCAACCTCCGCCTCCCAGGTACAAGTGATACTCATGCCTCAGCCTTCTGAGTAGCTGGGATTACAGGTGTGCACCACCACACCTACAATTTTTGTGTCTGTGTGTATTTTTGGTAGAGATGGGGTTTTGTCATGTTGGCCAGGCTGGTCTTGAATTTTCAGCCTCAAGTGATCCTCCTGTCTTGGCCTCCCAAAGTATTGAGATTACAGGTATGAGCCATTATGCCTGGCCTAATTATTATAAGGTTCTTGTAATGAAGATAGTGTAGTATTGGCACTAAGGTCAACAGTAGGTTAATGGAATAGAAGAAAAAATTCAGAAATAGAATCAACATATATAGACAACTGATTTTTGACAAAGGCACATGGCACTGTAGTGGAGAAAGAGTAGTCTTCTCTCTGAAACAATCGAATACCCATATACAAACTTTTTTAAAAAAAACTCAATTTATACCTCATACCATATACAAAAATTAGCTGCAAATGAATCATAGACTTGAATATAGAATTGAAACCAATATAACCTCTAGAGAAAACATAACAGAGGAGGAAATCTTTGTGACCTTGGGTTAGGTAAGATTTCTTAGAAACAACATCAAAAGCATAATACATAAAAGAACAGATCGATCAATTAGATGTCATCAAAAATTAAAATCTTTTCTTTTTGAAAAATACTGTTCAGAGAATGAAAAGACAAGCCACAGACTGGAAGAAAATATTTGCAAATTACATATCTGACAGAGGACTTGTTTCCACAATGTATTTTTTTAAACTCTCAAAACACAGCAATGCAAAATAAAAAAACTAATTAAAAGTGGACAAAAGATTTGAACTTTTCAAAAGAAGACATCCCACGAAATGACACTCAATCTCTTTAGTCATTAGAGAAATGTAAATTAAAACCACAATCAAATACAACTATGCATCTATCAGAATGTCCAAAACTAGAATGATTAAGTGTTCCAAGTGTGGGTGAGGATGTGGAGGCAGCAGGCGCACCCACACCGTGGATACTACTCAGCAACAAAGAGGACTAAACCACGGATGCATGCAGCAGCATGGATGAATTTCAAAATACATATGCTGAGTGAAAGAAGCCAGATCAAAAAAGAGTAAATACTATTTGATTTCCATAATACAAAATTCCAGAAAGTACAAACTACTCTATAGTGACAAAAATCATATCAGTGTTTGCCTGTGGTTGGCAGAGTAGAAAGGGTAGGAGTGAGAGGCACATAGGAACGTGGAAGCGTGGGGGGTGATGTGTCATGTTCGTTTTCTTGATCGTGTTGATATTTTTATGGATGTACACATAAGTAAAAGCTTTTCAAAAAGTATATTTCAAATATATGTAGCTTATTGTATGTCAATTCTGTTAGGTTGGTGCAAATTACTTTTGTGTGCAAAAATAATTGCAGTTTTTGCCATTACTTTTAATGCAGTTCCCTTTTGGTGCAATTACTTTTGCACCATCATAATACCTCAACACAGTTGTTGTTGTTGTTTTTAAATTTAGTGCAGCTTTCAAGTTAAAGAGAAGAATACAAATAATGGAGTAATAAGCAACATCTCCAGAGAATCAGGAGGTGTCAACACTATGCTAAACATCTGTTTCTCTGTCTGTCTGTATTTTATCCTCACAACATCCTTATGAAATAGATGCTCTTCTCATCCGCTTTTCACAGAGGAGCAAAGTGAGGCTACATAAGTTTCTCAATGCCACAAGCCCAGTAAGCCATAGAGCCAGGATCTGAACCCCGGCAGCTGGCTCCAGAGCTTGGATGCCAAACGACTGCAGGTGTTGGTTAATTTTCGTGTCTTGCTTTTGTCATTTGCAGGGAAAAATTGCTGGAGAAGCTGCATCTGAGGAAGCTTTATCAGTGGTCCAAAATGGAGTTAGTGAACCAGAGGTAGGGTTTGTGGAGGGTCTTTGCGTGCCTGCTGGCCACCCCATGGGCTTCACACCTTTCTACCTCTGAGGCTTTGTGCCCTTTCCTCCTCTTGACCTCTCTGGCTGTCTCCACCAGTTCCCACCTACCACCTCCTTTAGGACCTGCTGCAGCAAGCCTCACCTCATTACCTCCTCCCCTGCTGTGATTCATCTTTTCTTCTGTATCCTCTGCACAGCCTGGACTGTAAGTCACATTTTCTACATAAATTATTTGCAAAAATTTTAGTAAATACACCTTCTCTCTCCCTCCCATTGCCCAAAAAGAAAACATCTTGGAGAGGTAAAACATTTGTAAGTTTTCTGTGTATCATATGCACATACATACACTCTTATCAGTATCTAGATGTGTTCTTAATATGTGTCATTCACTTGCATCTCAGGATTTGGGTACTCCTCCCTCCTGTTACAGATTCAGGCCAATGGGTGTAGCATCCTCCACCAGTGCAGTGGCCGTTCCTGGGGACTTCACCATCCTTTGTTGGTTTCCCTTCACCCCGCCCATGCTTTTGCAGGTAGTCTCTTGACCACTCCGTTGGAGTGTACTTCTGTTCTCCACCAGAAGCCTGATGGTTTAGGAAGAGACTGGCAGGGCCCTGTGAACCCTGCTCAGGATCTCGAACTTTTCCTGAGGAGGGTGTTACGGCTTTTGAGTGGGAGATTGGTATAGTAAGGCATTTTCATTCCCTGAGGCTGAACATAGTCCTGGAATTTCAGTAGTATCCCAAGAGCCTCTTGGTGATGGATGGACTGACTCTGCAGCAGAAGCCTGGAGAACCCTGGAGAAGGGAACAGAACATGGGACTTATTCATATTCATAGAGATACTGGGTCAGCTTCATTGAACACTAAGCCCAGACACTGAAATTCTGCCAGAGGGCCAGATTTTCCAACCCCTCTCCCCTCTAGATTCTGACCAGTGAAGGAGTCTATCCAGAAGTCAGCTAGGGATTGAAACAACCCTTTCTTTTGGCTAACACTGAACCAGAGAAGAAAGCTAGGACCGAGCACATAAATGGGCTCCCATTTCTCCTTACTGAATTAAATGCTCCCACATAGTTGTAGGCAGGACTCACCCATGGGGCAGGGTCTCCCCACTCCCGGCTAACTACTTGGAGGGGAGTAGAAAGCACACAATCTGGGAGCAGGATGTGCTGCCAGAAAGAGACAGCATGATGCAGGCACAGGATCCAGCTTTTGAATCTCACATTAGCATATGCTGTTGGACCCCTACCCGTATCCTCTAGCACTTATCCTGCCTGAGCACCCTCAGGACGAGAACTGCAAGTGCCTGGTGTTCCTTCCATGCTCTGTTTGCAGCAGGGCAGACTGTTTGAGGGAGCAGCCATCAGCCAATGACTGAAGGCACTGGAGAATCAATACCCCAGCTCCTTTGCCCCTTAGGTGGGACCACTCTGCACTGTGTTCTCCTGGCTCCCAGAGCTTTGGATGGGATTGATTCACTGTAGTAACCCATATCTTGAAGCGCCGCATGCTGGTAGCCTTGCTCTCCTTGCCCCACATGCCGCTCCCCTCACAGAATTTCCTGGCTTTGCTCCCCAAGTAAACTACTGACTCTCAGACTCTTAGTTCAGGGTGTGTTTCTGGGGCAACCTGTGCTAGGAGACTCAGTGACCAGCCAGTCATGCCCTGTGCCATAGGGAGGAGAGTCGAGGTGCAGAAGAGGATAGCAGTTTTCTTTCTAATATTCCTAAGAGGGTACCCGTTCCTTATGAACCCAAGCAAGGATGTGGATGGGGAGATGGCATGCCTGGCCCCACCACCATATCAAACATGTTAGAACCCCAGAAGACACCTGAGTCAACAAGGTGGATTGATCTCCTATTTTTATCTCCTTTCCCTTCTGGAGAAAATCACTGAAATGACAGTAAAGGAATAAAAAGGGCACAAATCCACAAAGAAGAGATGGAGAGGAGATATTGGAAGATAAGCACTTTAAAAATATTGAGAATAAAAAAATCGATGGAGGAGTTTACACTGGCTTAGCACAGCTGAGGAAGGTGAAACTCAAGAATCTTTTTGAAAGGAGAGACTGGTGAAAATTGTGTGAATTCTACACAAGGTTGAAGACTGGAGGTTTGCAGAAGGCGGGGTGAGGGACTGGGCTGAAAAGGCTGGGCAGGCTGGTGTGAAGTGAGGAACACTGGATCCCTGAAGACTCCAGTTAGGTTGTCAGCCACACCCCAAGTGGGAGGATGAAATGACTGTTCTCTAGAGAAATTGAACAGAGGCCGCTCCACCGCATGGGCATTATAATGGCGAAGGATGGAGAACAGACAAGTAAGTGGAACTCTCCATTTCAAATAGAGGACTCCACGGCCCCTCCTCCAGCCACACCTTCTTGATGCCAGGAGCCAGGCCTTATATTAGTTTCTATTGCTGCTGTAACACATTACCCCGAACTTGGTGGCTTATAGCACAGATTTATTATTGTGCAGTTCTGGAGGTTAGAATTCTAAAATGGTTTTGAGTGTGCTGAATTTCAGGTGCTGAAAGGTGCATGTTCCTTCTGGAGGCTCTGGGGGAGAATCTGTTCCCTTGTCTTTTCCAGCTTCTAGAAGCCACTTGTGTTCCATGCCCTCTGGCCCCTTCCTCCATCTTCAGAGCCAGCAGCACAACATCTTCCTCCCTCTGACTCAGACCTGCTGCCCCCCTCTTAGCAGATCCTTGTGATTCCACTGGGCCCACCTAGATCATCCAGGAGCATCTCCTCATCACAGAACTCCTCAAGCACTGACATCTGCGAAGTCCCTGTGCCCTGAAAGATAGGTTCCAGGGACTAGGACCTGTACATCTTTGAGGGCCACTGTTCCACCTAATACAGTTCCTCATGCAGGATATTGGAGAGCTTAAGTCCCCCAAAAACTGACAGCCTCAAAGAAAATGCCTTCAGATAATGTCTCTGAAGGTGGCCACCCAATAATAATGCCAGATCTCTGCCTGATCGCCCTATGAAGGGCTCCAGTTAGCCAGCGTCTGTGGACTTTTGCCTCTCACGCGTATTGCTTTTACGAAGCTAAAAATGTACTCTAGAGATATAAGGGCCTAAACAAATGAACAAAAAAGACAAGGAAAAGACCTAGAACTTAAGAAAGCGGAGCTGCAGTACTGGCAGGCCGGCAGAGCTGCAAGTCCAGATTAGAGGGGAGAAGAAATGAAGCTCATGTATTATCTCCAGTGCCTGATCATTTGGAAATGAATAGTGACGAACACTTGGCAAATCTGATTAAGCAAGTGAAAAACTTAGGAAACAAGTTGAATAAAAACTAGGCACACAATTGAAAACATTGTCATTTATACTACTTTGATCAGCAACAACAAAATACTTACACATTCATAATAGTGTGAATACTTACTGATTTAACCCTGAATCGTGATGTCATTATCCTGGGGGATAAGCTATGGGGAGGATGGTAGTGTAAGCGGGATTAATCTAGTCATTATGTCAATGTCCAGTAGGAAATTCTAAAAACTGATGAATTTAGAAACAGCAGCATAAGCATATTGCCCAGAAATATAGAGGTAAATAAATACCCAAAGTAATGAAAAGGTTGAAAATTCTATTCAATGGGGTTAGAGACTTAGAAGGACAGAGAACTGCTAATTTCTTAAGAAATATTTGGTGCTAATATTATTTAAAATTTTTCTATATGCATGTATTACTTTGATTTAAAAGAACGCCATGAGCAATCTCAAAAGGAATCATCTTCTGAGAAATGCCCCTTTTTTAGATGCACCTAACCCAAAATGAACAGCCTCAGCCCTGACATTCCAGGTGGCTGTGTTCCATTGGCCCTTCCTGGGCTCCACCTCCCCGCCACAGTTACTCCCAGGACCACCTGACCAGTCCCAAGATTCAAAATGCTTGTATCACAATGAAAACAGTTTTGGGGACAGAGGCATTTTGCTTCCGGAGTTATTATAATATATATATAACACTACCACACTCTAATCTCTACCCCAGGATGTGGGAAGAAAGTTGCCCAGGTGCCAAGGCAAGAGACTGAAGGCACAATCTGTCCCAGTAAATAACTGATTACTTAGTTTTAGCAATGATACCAAATATATTTAGAAGCAATCACATAATCAATTATATAATCAATCTTATTAAATCATTATTCTTTATTATTAATTTTTGCTTTAGTATTATAGCCTAAAAACATTCTAGTCTTATAGTATAGACCCAACCATGTGAAATACAATTATCTTAGAAGTTGTGAGAAATGAGAGTAGGGGAATCCTAGAAGCCGTTGATCTTTCTGGTAAGTGTGTAGAAAAATGCTGACATAGTTGCCTCCCTCCCTTGCAGCGGCTACCTGCAAGGGAAGAGGCCCCCTATACTGTAAGCACGTGATTTGCTTGACCCTATCAATCACGTCAGATGATTCTCTCTCCTTACTCTGCCCCCCTGTCTTGTATACAGTTTATATCAGCACATCTAGGTGTTCCAAGCCACTACTGGACTCCACGCCTTGGTAGTAGTGGTCCCCCCGGACGCACCTGAATTCTTCTCTTATCTCTGTCTTGTGTCTTTCTTTCCTGCGATCTGTTGTCTCTGCACACAAAAGAACACCCACTAGACCCTGCATCCGGAGGCAGTTAAAAGATGGACCCTATGTCAAAGGCCAACTGAAACTATTTGTCTCATGTGAGACCTTCATTTCACAACCAGCTTTATTTATTTATTTTAATTTTCCTTTAAGTTCTGGGTTACATGTGCAGAACATTCAGGTTTGTTACATAGGTATTCATGGGCCATGGTGGTTTACTGCGTCTATCAACCCGTCATCTAGGTTTAAAGCCCGGCATGCATTAAGTATTTGTCCTAATGCTCTCCCTCCCCTTGCCCCTCAACTGCCAGCAGGTTCCAGTGTCCCCACCCTGCGTCCATGTGTTCTCACTGGAGAAGTAGTTTTTAAAAACATTTTATAAATTTTGAGTATCTCATTAAGGACCTCTCCTTAAAATCAGGCCTGGCCCAGGATGAGTTGTTTCGGGTGAAACAGTCTTACCTGTCCTCTGAATGGTGTCATGTAGAGATGATGCAGCCACCAGCCCACTAAATTACAGGGTATTGACGGGATTCTCACTTGCTCCTCCTCTCTCCTTGCTCTAGGACATAGAAAAACTCAGTGAGGCCTCCCCTGGCTGTGCACAGGATCACCGTGGCAGCAGTAGGAGCTTGGCATCACTCTTACGGCCTGAAGAGCCCGTCCACTTCCGCCCCATCTATAGGGGAGCCTCAGCTGCTTTTTGTATTCAGCTGTTTTGTATTGATGAGAAATACGAAGCAAGGCAAGTACTGACCTCCTGGCTGGCTGCCACAGTGAGAATCTCTTCTGGCATCAGTGGACCAACATTTTAACTTTACAGACCCAGTAATTTCCAAACCTGGCCCACTTCCTACTCTCCTGGGCAGTTTTAAAAAACCACAAATTCCTAAGCCCCATCCAGAGATTCTAGTCTGTAAAATTTTAATAAGGGCTATAGAAGTGAACAAGAAAACTGGCCCACCTATGCAACAATTGGGAATCTGGAAAATTATCACTTAGGTAACCACATGCTGCTCCCATTCTGTAAAGTTTGCATTTTTTGGAGAACTTGGATTTGGATTACTGATTATCTAGAGTCTTTTGCTTGCAAGTAACAGAAAATCCAACCAAACTGGCTTTGGAAAAAAAAAACTGAATAACTGCCTTACATAAGTAAGGATGACTCCAGTGGTGAGACTATTTTTAATATGGCTTGATCTAGGATTTAGATAGCCAAATCAAGGACCCAGTTTCCCTCTCTACCTCTTTAACCTGTGTGTTAGTCCTTTTTCATGCTGGTGATAAAGGCATACTCAAGATTGGATAATTTATAATGAAAAAGAGGTTTAATGGACTCACAGTTCCATGTGGTTGGGAGGCCTCACAATCATGGGTGAAGACGAAAACCACATCTTACATGGCAGCAGACAAAGAGGCAATGAGAGGCAAGTGAAAGGGGTTTCCCCTTGTAAAACCATCAGATCTCATGATACTTATTCACTACCAGGAGAACAGTATATTAGAAACCACTCCCAGGATTCAATTATCTCCCACCGGATACCTCCCACAACACGTGGGAATTATGGGAGCTATAATTCAAGGTGAGATTTGGGTGGGGACACAGCCAAACCATATCACCCTACTTCCTCCTGTTGGCCCCCTTCTCAGAGGAGTGCCCCATCCCAGGTCTAAGACCACTGACAGTCTCAGCTCTGCATCAAAATCCAGTGAGGAGGACTTCCTGGGTTGGGCCCAGCTTTCCAACCAAAGTCCCATGAGGCCTAACAGGACTGTGTGTTCATTCCTGAGCCAACAGCCATGACAAACCCATGCCATAAGGAGATGGAAAAGATGGGCTCCATCCCTTGGCTCATGCTCTACCCCAGATCTGCAGCTGGAGCCTCAGCCACATGGAATATCTGAGCGGGAGATAAGTTGACACCCAGCAGGGCTACAGCAAGGAGGAGGCACGCATGGTGCTGGGCAGGCAAAGGCCCGGCGCCCACCAGACCTCACAGCCATCCACCCTGCCCTCCAAAACACCCACATGTTCAGTGCTTGCTGCTCCCCTGTGGTCCAGACACTGGACGCTGCCCTCGGTCCTAGATTCCACATCTTAGCACACCCACCCACTCCTCATCTGTCCATAGAACCATCTCAAAGAGGAAATGATTGACCCATTTCAATAGAGTGGAAGGCTCTGGAGTGTCTAAAAGATGACCAGGCTGGACAGTTCCTCTTCAGAGGAGCTGTTTAAACGCGTTCCCAGTCTCCCAGCATCCCCTGGAACAATGTTGTACTTTTACTTTTTTCATCTTGAGCTTTCGGCTTTTATGGAGACCTGAGAGATTGAAAAGATAAGTTCTTTACATCTAAAACCTTGTAAAGCCTCTCTAGATTTGTTGGTTTATATTTATCTGTGCATTTAAATATGATTGCGCTTAGAGTATACTTTCTGAATTTTGAAACAGGAATTTGGTGATCCGGTGTGGTTTGCCTATGAACGTACATCTACATCTACTCAGAAAATCTTTCACACATAAAAAGGAAAAAGATCAGAAGCAGCCTATAATATTTCTCACCTCTCCTCTTAACTCTTCCAAAACAAAAGGGAAGGATCATAGGTGCAGAATGACCAATTTTGTTTTGGCTTTTCAAATGCACAGAGATTATTAATTGACGTGAAAGTGTCTTCAGTTCTACAGAATACTTTATTACTGACATACGAAGCTTATGACTTATGCACCCCATTAGTGTTCAGCTAGACACACATTCTGACTAGTGGTTGGCTAATCGCTTCCCGAGGGGAGGGAGCCGTAAATCTCTGTAAATGTCCACTGATTGCATTTGCCTGAAGGGCAGTGACAGTGCTTCCTGTCTTGTTTACAGATCGCTGGATTTTATGAATTTTGTTTTCAGCCTTTTTTCTGTAAGTACATGCTGAATTTCGAGAACTGGTTTTGTAAGTTTAGAGAAGTTGTAGAAAAGTAAAATGCCATAAATTTATTATGCTATGAATGTTGAGGTTTGTGTTCTGAGAGTAAGGTCAATGGCATGTCATGAGCTCATAAAAATACTTCTCTTTTTATTGTCATTTTCACGAATTTTTAAGTCATGCTATTTTAGCAGTTTTCTTTAAATGCTAAATTTCTTTTAGAGAGTCAAATCATTCAAAGTAGTATATGAAAATGTCAGAAATGAAAGTGAATAACACTATCTTATTTTATAGACTATATTGGCTCCAGGTATTCTGAAATCATCATATTGCTTTTCTGAGGGTAGCAAAGCAGAAATTTGTTGATTTTCAGGTTGGCATTGCTTTCCCTGCTAGATCCTCAGGCCTGACTTCATGCCTGGCTTGTGGAAGGGGCTCAACCCCATTGGTGAATGGGCCTGCAGGGTAACATCCGCGTGCAAAGAAGATTCTCCATGTCAGGGTGTCCCCGGCTCCTGCCTACATTCTTGTCTCATTGTTGTCTAGGGATGGAGATCTAACCAGACTCTTACACTTCTTTATTGAAGGAAAGAAGATGGGGAAGGAAGTTTTGAGGGACAAAATGCATTTTTATAAAGACAAGCCTGTTAATTAAGTAAAGTCAACATCTGCACTTCTTCAGTTGACTGATTTCAAGAAAAATATCTATTGCTTCATTTTTCCTCTTTCTAATGAGGCAAAAACAAGTATACTTTAATTATTTTATCTTAAAACTGTGTGACATTAGGTTTTATTTCCTCAGTTTTATTATTATAAACTTTGTAATAAGGCAGTATGTTCTCCATCATAATTTTAAAAAATTGATAATTAAGACACTTTCCAAAAAATGTGGATTACCCTGAACATAGGATTTACAAAGTCAGTTTCCCTCAAAGACTCCTTAAATAAATTTCAGTAATTTTAATTATTTCCTATTTTAAAGTCCATGTAAAGGTAAATCTTTAACATTATAAAAGTAATGCTGGCTTTAAAAAGGTAAAAGAGCTGTTTACATTTCAATTCCATTTGACTTCAGAACATGGACGACAGGAAAATAATAACCTTGATTGCTTCATCCTTAATCCTTCAAATCCAAGATGAAGCAACTCATTATAGTTACTCTCCCCCTCCCAGAGGAAGCCCACCCAGGCTTGGCACCCAGTTCTTATTTTCAACTTGAGTATTTCAGCAACTTGACTCTCAGGTTCCCCAAAAGGAGCCCTGCTAATTTGCTAAAAAGAGGGAAGATAAGGTCAAACAGTGATTCAGTCCTTTGAGTTACACAAATGTCCCCAGGGTTTTGGATTAGCACAAGTAATGCCTTCACAGGGTTCAAGAGAAGGCGAGATCCCAAAGGGACAAATTAGCTGTGGGAAGAGCAGGCTGCTTCTGCAGGGACCTGGCAGAGAATCAAGCGGCTGTGTGAAGCTCAGACAGCCTAGAGCAGCACTGTCCAGAGATGGAGTGTGAGCCACATCGGTAATTCTGAATGTTCCAAGAGCCATAGGAAAAAAAAGAAAAAGGAACAGATGAAATTTATATTATAATATCTTTCATTTAACTTAATATGTCCCAGTTCTTTTTTAAAGAGACAGGGTCTCACTTTGTTGCATGCAATGGTACAATCATAGCTCACTGCTGCCTCAAACTTCTTGGCTCAAGGGATCCTCCTACCTCAGCCTCCTAAGTAGCTGAGATATGTCACCATTCCCAGCTAATTAAAAAAAAAAAAAAAAAAGGATTGTAAGGACAGGGTCTCACCATCTTGCCCAGGCTGGTCTCGAACTGCTGGGCTCAAGTGATCCTCCCATCTCGGCCTCCCAGAGTACTGGGATTACAGTGCCACTGTGCCTGGGTAAATTTAATCATTTCAACAGGTAATCAATATGAAACATTATTAGTGAGCTATTTACATTATTTATCTCATACTAAGTCTTTGAAATCTAATGTGTATTTCACATTTATAGCACATCTCAATACAAGTCCTAAATTTTCATCAGAAATAGTTGATCTGTATTTAGATGTTATAAAATTTACAGTTGGTTAAGTAGATTGGCATAATCTAAGCACACATAAATCTTCTCCAGTAACAGAATTATCAGTTTTTTTATTTTAAATGCAGTAAAATTTAAAATTTAGTTCCTCCACCATACCAGCCACATGTCATTGGCTACTGTATGGACAGGGCATGCCTAGAATAGGTGAATAGCAGCCCTCAGGACATGCAGGACCTCCTGTGTCTGCTAACTAAACCCACTGCCTGGGTTTAATGATGCCCATGAACCTGTTCACGCAACTGGGATCATGTCATGATAAGATACATACACATCTGATTATGGATAATCAGAGAATTTTAGAGCCAAAAAAGTCCTGGAGTGTCACCCTCCCATCTCACAAGAGGAAGGGACCACAGCTGGTGTAAAGTCACTTAGTAATCAAGGGGCCTTTGCTAGGACGCCATGCTGCCTCATTGACTTGGTGACACAAGTGAACTTGCAAGTGTGAATTCTCTTGGTTTAAAAATCTACTACCACAGAAGAGTTATGCTGGATGAGTGCCATTGTTTATAAGATTCATTTATTCAGGTTTCAGTGAGGCACAAAGATACTTTTTGTAAGCTCTCGTAGTTGCTTATTTCCTGAATTTTATGTGATTATTTCCCAAATTATAGGAAAGGTAATTTGAGTATCCTCTCCTTAGTCAACACATTTTGCTTCTATTTTTCTTTTTTTTTTTTTTAAAGGAATTTGTTTTTTGATTAATGGTTTTTTATTCTTTCCCTGTGTCCTGGTTTTTGATGGTGTTAGGATAAGAACTTCTGTGTAATTTCTCTGCCCCATCTCACCCCTGAGTTCATCCTCATCCAGAACTTTGTGAAGGTGGTCCCTTTCAACACCTGCACTGTCGAGCAGGACCTCTACGTCTTCCACCGGGCTGGATTGCTCAAGTGAGTAGACACATGTGTGGCTCCCAACAATCCATGAAATTACAAAAGAAAGAAACAAGGAGCTCCCTGCTATTTTAATTTAATAATTTATTTTAAAGATTGTCTTTTATTAGAAAAAGGCTTAAGTGATTTTAACTAATACATTTAGAGAAAGAATGGCCCTTGAGAAGAGATTTGTTCTGTCAGATATTAAAACATAATATAGCTCCACAATAATCAAAACAATGCCATGTTGACACATTCTACAGGCAGAACAATGTAATCCAAGAAATAGCCCTGCCACAGACCCAGGATAGTAAGAACTCTGTGTAGATTGATCTTTGTATGTGAGTGTGTGTGTGTAATACATACATGACAAAGTATGTGCCAAAACAGTGGGAAAAGGAAGGATTCTTCTGTAAATGGTGGGACAAAATGAAGATAGAAACTGTTTATACTCGGTCATAAAATAGATTCTCAGGTGATTAAAGAATTAAATGTAAATATTGAAAACCTAAAAATTAGAAAACATATTTACAGTGATAGGTTCTGTGGCAAGTTCTGGGAACACAGTGGTGAACAACATATAGACGTGGCCCTTGCCTTTTCAAGGCTTGTGAACACACATGCTATAAAATGACAACTGCAAAGAGAGTAACCAGTGCTGGGCACATGGTACTGAGCATGGAACATTGAGAGAGTCAGCCCAGTCAGAGGAAGCTCTCCTTGGAAAGTAATTTGAAATGCTGGATGAAGAAAGTGAGTGAAGATTGACCTTTATCATGTCTCAGAATGGGAAAGTTCTTTATAAAACATGAAAGAAAATAATTAAGGTTTCTTATACTATGCAAAGTTTTTTCAACCACCTGATTTAATTAAAATGTAACTGACAGAATAATGTTTTCAACAAATATGGCAGACAAAAGGTGGGCGTATTTAATGTATAAATAACTTTAATAAATCAATAAGAAAATCACTTAATGCCTAAATAGAAAAGTTAATAAAAAGCATGGCCAGACTGTTTGTACAGGAAAAAAATTCAGTAGATATTTAATAACTTCTGCCTATCTTATTTTTAGAAAATATTATGAGGCTCATCAAACTGTGCACTTGAAATGAGTGCATTTTATCGTATGTAAACTGGACCTCAATAAAGTTGATGCACAATTTTATGATGAAAGGTTTGGTGGAGGAGTGTCAGAGAGCTTGCCCTATAATTGCTGTGTTAACCTTTTGAGTGAAACTTTGAGAAACATCCTAGATGTTCACTTCATAATTAGGGACTGGTCAAATGAATTTTACCAAATTCATTTAGTTCATTACGATGAAGATTTGAAGGAAAAAAACCAGATTTCTATATCCTATGTGGAAAGAGGTCTAGGATGGTGAGAAAAACAGTCAGACATTAATAGTACAAGTTCTAATAGTAATGATAATTAACATTTATCGAGGGTTTATAGTGTGCCAGATGCTTTCTTAATCACCACTTTCCATGTGTCAACACTCATAGTGACCTAATTAGCTAGGTATCATTATCCTCATTTCACTCAGTAAGAAAACTGAGACAAAGAGAGGTTGAGTAACTACTCCACAGTCCACACAGCAGAAAGTGGCAGAACTGAAATTGGAACCTATGCTGTAGCTTACAGAGCCAACTCATGACCACCCCACATATTGTTTCTCTACGTGATATGGTTGATGTAATCCCATCTGATTGTTGTAAAGTGTTCACAGGTAGCAGTCAGCACTAATGCTAAACTTTTGTATCAAGTGACCCCTAAACACAACTGCCCTGAGCCAGTTCTGTCTCTGTGCCACAGTAGTCCAGGCATGAGCATGTGGCCTAAGGAGAATAGCAGCTTTTTCCCATGAAGTTGTCCAGGAACCTAAGTTCCTTCTCTGGTTGCCCCTCCATTCCACAGAGAAGCATGAGGTTTGTGAATTTGGATCTTTATTTCACTTAACTGCAAGTGAAGTTTAGTGTGTCCTTCCATTGTGACTGGAGCCAGCAGGCCTCATAGTGTTAGCAGAAACCATGACTCTGTAGCCAGTAGAAATGACAGGTATTTTCATTCATATTTTTGTTGTTGCAGATGTCTCAAAAATATCATATGTGTTTACCCTACTTTGAAATTTCAGTAATTTTATTCTCAACCAGAATTTGTTATTTAATGCATTAACCAGGAGGCACAGGCATTACTGTAACACGTTTTTTAAAACATTTTGATAACTATATTTCAATATAATTGGTGATCCTTTGTGTTTTATTTTACGAATATAGAAACATTTTATGAATGTAGAAACATAGCATCACCACACTGTCAAAGGGCTCCATGGTATGCAAGAGTTTCAGACCCACGGCCAGAGTAGACTTTCCTTCCTTGTGCTCAGAGCTAGCTCAGAGCACCATAGCCACAGTGCAGCCCACAGGGAAGGGTGGTGGAACGAGAAATGGATGAGGGGAAGCACTTTCCTCTTAGGGGAAAGGAATCACCTCTGTTCATATTACGCGGTAAGGAATTTGGTCACATGGCCCTACTTCACTGCAAGGGAGCTTGGAAGATATGTTGCCCGTAGGTTGGGCATGTGCCCAGTAAAAAACTCAGTTGAGTCCTTAATTAAAAAGAAAAGGAAAAATGAGACTATGGGAACATTATATCTAGTTTTTATCTTATATATGTATAGAAGTCCTAGAAAGGTACATAGGATTTCATTAATCTTATATTGCTTCTGGGAAACAGGACTGGGAATTTGAGGTGAGGATGGTGACAGACTTTTTGCATTTTGTCTATCTGTTATGTTTGATTCTTTTTGTTTTAATTAATAGACTTTTTTTTGAGATAGCATCTCACTCTGTTGCCCAGGCTAGAGTGCAGTGGCACAATCATGGCTTACTGGAGCCTCAACCTCCCAAGCTCGGTGATCCTCACACCTCAGCCTCCCAAGTAGCTGGGACTACAGACGTGTGCCACAACACCTGGCTAATTTTTCTACTTTTTGTAGAGACGGGGTTTGACCGTGTTGCTCAGGCTTGTCTTGAACTGGGCTCAAGCAGTTCACCCACCTTGGCCTCCCAAAGTGTTGCAATTACAGGTGTGAGCCACCACACCCAGCCAAAAAATTTTTTTTCAAAAGAGTAGTTTTAGATACAGCAAAATTGAGCAGAAAGTGTAGAGAGTTCTCACAGCCCCTTCACCACCACCATACACAGACTCTCACGTCATGAACTTCTAGCACCAGATTGGTACATACACTTGTTGTAATCAGTGAACCAGCACTGACATATCGTTATCAACCAATGTCCATAGTTCAGGGTTCACTGTTGGTGTTGTACATCCTGTGACTTTGGACAAATGTGTAATAACATGTATCCACTGTTACAAGAGCACACAGAATAGTTGTACTTTCCCAAACATCCTCTGTGCTCTGTCTGTTCATCCCTCGTTTCCCACAATGCTGTCAACCACTGATTGTTTTACTGTCTCCATAATTTTGCCTTTTACAGAATGTCATAAAGTTGAAATCATATGTTAGTAGCTTTTCCAGATTGGCATTTTTCACTGATTAATATGCATTTAAGTTTCCTCCATGTCTTTTCATGACTGCTAGCTCATTTCTTTGTAGCCCTGGATGATGTTCCATTGTCTGGATGCACCACAGTGTGTCTATTTATTTATCTACTGAAAAACGTTTGCTTTCAAGTTTGAGCAGTTATGAAGAAAGCTGCTATAAACATTCAAGTGCAGGTTTTTATGTGGGTGTAAATTTTCAACTCGTTTAGATAACCACCAAAAAGTGCAATTTCTGGATCCTATGGCCAGAATATGTTTAGTTTTACAAAAAACTGTCAAACTGTCTGACAGAGTGGCTGAGTCATTTTGCATTCCCACCAGCAGTGAATGAGAGTTCCTGCTGCTCCACACCCTTCCCAGCATTTGGTGTCCTTAGTGTTTTGGATTTTGGCCATTCCGATCGTATGTTAATGGTACCTTACTGTTTTAATGACACATGTTGTTGAGCATGTCTTCATATGCTTATTTGCCAGCTGTATATCTTCTTTGGTGAGGTGCCTGTTTAGGTTTTCTGCCATTTTTTAAATGAATTATTTCTGTTTGAATTTTTTAAAATCATAGGCCAGGCATGGTGGCTCAAACCTGTAATCCCAGCACTTGGGGAGACCGAGGCCGGTGGATCACAAGGTCAAGAGTTCAAGACCAGCCTGGTCAAGATGATGAAACCCTGTCTCTACTAAAAATACAAAAATTAGCCAGGTGTGGTGGCAGGTGCCTGTAACAGCTACTTGGGAGGCCGAGGCAGGAGAATCACTTGAACCAGGGTGGCAGAGGTGGCAGAGGTGGCAGTGAGCCAAGATCGAGCCACTGCACTCCATCCTGGGCAACAGAGATTCCATATCAAAAAAAAAAGAAAAAAAAAAAAAAAAAAAAAAAAAAAAAAAAAAAAAAAAAAGAAAGAAAAAATCAGTGGGTGTGCATTACTGTTGTGATAGAAAAATGTAGTTAATTTTTTCTACACTGAGATTTTAAATTTTATTATGATTCAAGTAGAATTTTAAAAAATGTACTTTATACTCCGCATTCTTAAATGCATTGGTGACTTTTTTTCCTTGGAGTTCTCACTCGGAATAATCCATTTGAATGAAGACGCTGGAGATGGAAAGCAATGAGATGACACAGATCTAGGAAAGGGTCATTGGTCTGGCTGTAGCAGTGGCCTTATTCTTAGTGGCTTTAATTACATAATTTATATTCATATTCTTTTCTTTCACTCTCTCTTTGACTATGTACATGCATTACTATTCTTAAAAATCTAAATCTTTTAAATGATGGGACTTTCTGCACTTGTCAGGGAATTAGTTTGGTTGCAGTGGGGCCCTGGTTTTTCTTCATAACCTTTTTCAGTGTCAGCTGAAAATTCATTTTCTTGAATCATTTGCATTTAAAATTGGAGCACATGAGATACACCTGTGTTCTTTTCTGAAATATTGGAGACTCACAGACTGA